TCCCTGGTGGCTCAGATGGTAAAGAATCCACCTACAGTGCAGGAGACTTGGGTTCAATCCCTGGGTGGGGAAGATCTCCTGGAGGAGGGCGTGGCAACCCACTCCAGGATTCTTGCCTGGAGAATCCCACGGACAGAGGAGCCTGGCGGGCTACAGTCCGTGGGGTCACAGAGAGTTGGACACGACTGAGCGAGTAAGCATAGCAGCTATAACTGAGTCACGCTGCTGTACATAATAAATTAACACAACACTATAAACCGACTATACTTCAATAAATTTTTTTTTTAATTTTCCTAAAGGAATATCCGTACCCTATCAGCAGGAACCTGACCAGTGGGATCGACAGGGAAGGTTATAAGGGAGCATTTCCTTGAATGGAACTTTGCAGGATGATAGGAATCGAGTGAAGGGGTGGGGGAACAGGCGGCCACAGGGAGCGTCTTCGCCACAGGTCAGTACTGCTGTCATCCAGAGAATAAGCAATCAGAGCGGCCCGGAGACAGGCTGTCTGGGTCAGTCTGCGATGTCCGAACCCAGCCCTAAGGACCCCCGTCACCTGAGATCACCCAGGGCCATCTGAGGCGCCCCCCGAGGAAGACCACATGCTCCCCGGGACCCCAACTCCCAGCACCTATGACTCTAACAGGATACGTTTTTGCTCAATTCTTTAAATAGGGTTCCAGAAAATCATGGGGGGAAATTCCACAAAACCAGAGACACACACATACACACTCACACTCAGACTTGTGTAAGAGTTTACAAAAGGTTTTGTCCCAGTACTATCAAATTTTGAGTTTCTAGTTCAAACAGTTCTTAGCAAAGTAAAACTCTTATCCCCACTTCACAGCTGGGGACCCCGAGGCGCAAAGAAAACGTGAGTGTTTGACAGCTCAGTTAGAAGGGCGGAGGCAAGGCCCAGGGTCACACCACCCGAGTCCCAGGTCTTCCAAAGCAGGGCAGCCCCTTCCTACCGAGGCCCTTTGGTCAAACACCACGTCTGATGCTTTGTAACACAAACCCTTGCAACCATGCACTGTTTTTAGAAATCATTTGTTGGGGTGATTTTTTTTCCTGCTGGAGAAGGCAAACCTGGAAAGAGCCTTCGGTCCTCCAGCCAGGAAGACTTCTGGGCTCACTTTCCAAAGCACACTGACTTCCTGGTTGGAGGCCTTGGGGAGCTGCCCTGAAAAGTTCTACAGCCACTTACTCAACAAGGGGATGCTGTTCATCCGATTCAAACCCACAGCCTCACTTTGAACTATCGTTTAAGCCAATGTGGAGAACCTGGAATCCTTCACAGGCCTCCTAACTTCCAAAATGCCAGGAGTCCTTTTCATACTCACAGAGAGGATTCCCCAAAGCCCTTTCAACAACGACAGCTGCAAGAGCCTGTAAGGGCCCGCACACTCTACAAGGCACGTGCAATCGGGGTGACCGACTGTCCCAGTTTAGCTGGAACCCAGGGTTTCCTGGAATGCAGCAGGTCAGTCTGTTCTGGTTAATTTAATCCTTGCAACACTCAGCTGCGTGGTAAGGGGGCTTCTCCATCATCTTTACTGATAAGAGAATCCAAACTAGAGCCTTCACAGGGTTTGCCCAAGAAACAAAACAAGGGTTTGCAATAAGCTCTGATATCCCAGGGGTTAGCCCTGGCCCCCGGGTGCCCACAGGACTGCAATTGAGCTGACGGAGACAGGCATCCTTGGGTCTTGACAGGTAGAGGACAGCTCAAACTTTCCACATCTCTGGAGAACACTCATTCTTCATAACACACCGTATGAAGTGGATATGACTTTTTTTTTTTTACTATTTTTTAAAAGTTATTATTTAGTATTTATTTATTTATTTATTTTTAATGGAAGGATAACTGCTTTACAATATTGGCTTCATTTCTGCCATACATGGCAAGCAATGGAGATGCAGATGTGAAAGGCCTTTTTCAGGACTGGGAACCTGGAGCTCTTTGCCCTCATCTCAACGTCCTGGTGTGCATGTCAGTGGTGACTGTCATTCCACCCGAAGGCTGCTTTTATAGCATCCAGAGCAGTGCATACAGACAGGGCGGCAGACTAGCGGAAAATCGTGGAGAAAGCCTGGAGCCACACCTGGGGAAGTGGAGCGGCCGAGTCAGCAGACTTAAATCTAAGGTCTTCCTCTGCCGCATCCTAGCTGTGCGACCTCAGGGCTAATAACAGTTATTTCACAGGATTGCCATGGTATCTGGAATGAGATGACCCGATGTGAGCCCACCCTCCTTCATGACTGGCACTGGATAAATGCCCAGTAAATGTTAGCTCACCAACAACCCTCAAGAAACTCAAAAATGTCCCTTGCTTTGTAAGTTCCTCAGGCTTCTACCAGGGTTTTTGAAGCCTAAACCTATGTGAAAATAATAGACTGTATCAATAATAAGAATACAAACACCCTATTTTAAAAAAAAAATAGGCCAAAGATTGGAACAAACTTTTCCCCAAAGAAACCTTCAGATGACAAACCGTCTCAGTAGATGTTCAACATCATTAGTTAACAGGGGAATGCACACTAAAGCCACAATAAGACATCATTACATACCTGCTGAACGGACCAAAATTAAAGATACTGACAAGTGTTGGCAATAATGTGAAGCAACTGGAATTCTCACTCATCCCGACCGTATGGTGGGAACACATGGTCTCAGCACATTTTGAACAGCTGCTCATGAAAAGAGATTGGGAGCTTCCTACAATCACCCTTAATGCATGACTCAGCAATCTCACTCCCATTCACTCAAGAGAAATGAAAATCAATGGCCCATAAAAAAAATTATAGGAGCTTTATTCATAAGGGCCAAAATTCTGTAAAGAATCCAAATATCCATCAACAAGTGAATGAATAAACAATATACATCCATACAACAAAAGACACAGTAAGCAAAAGCAACCACTGACACACATCAAGGTGAGTGATGATCAAATACATTTTGTGAAGCAAAAGAAGCCTGATGAAAACACTACACACTATTTGACTTCATGTGAAATTATAGAAAATTTCATAACTTTTTAAGTTTATGGGGTGAAGGAATTATCTGTTGAGAGACACACAGGAACCCTTTGAGGGCAACAAAAGCCTTCCACATCCTGCTTAGGGTGGTGGCTTCATAGACGTGTGTGTGTGTATGCACGCATACGCACTCAGTGGCTCAGTCATGTCTGACTCTTTGTGACCCCATGGACTATAGCCTGCCAGACCCTCTGTCTATGAAATTTTCTAGGCAAGAATATTAGAGTGGGTTACCATTTCCTACCCCAAGGGGTCTTCCCAACCCTGGGATCAAACCCAAGTCTCTTGAGTCTCCTGCATTGGCAGGTGGGTTCTTTACCACTAGTGCCACCTGAAAAGCCCTGCACAGATGGAACATTTGTCAAAACTCATTGAGCTGTACACTTTAAAAGGGTGAGTTTTACTGTCTATAAATTAAGCCAGGACTTCTCTGCTGGTCCAGTGGTTAAGAATCTGCCTGCCAATGCAGGGGACATGGGTTTGATCCCTGGGCCAGGAAGATCCCACATGCTGCATGGCAACTATGCTCACACACCACAGCTGCTGAGCCCATGAGCTGCAACCACGGAGGCCCACGTGCTCTAGAGCCTGTGCGCCGCAGCAAGGGGAGCCGGCACAGCGAGGGGCCTGCACACCCCAACCAGAGAGCAGCCTGCCTCACGGCGACTACAGACACCTACACACAGCAAGGCAGACCCAGAGGACCCAAAAGTAGGTACGCATTTAAAAAACCAGTTATCACTTTCAGAAAAATCAGACGCCAATAAATCTTTCTTTAGAAAAAAAAAAGTGGGTTGTGAAATACAGGGGATCTGACCTGGGCAGGGGGAACGCAAGCCTGAGGGCGGGTGAGACGGGGGCTGGGGAAGGACGGGTGGGCCGACCGCTGCCGGTTTAGTTAAGAGACGTGACCTGGGCCTTCAGTTACTGGGGGAGCAAACCGAGAAAGCAGGTCGCTCACTGGCTGGCGTCACTCAGTGTCTCACGATCTCCTTCCACCTGGCTGCTTGGTCAGCGAGGCCAACACGTGATCTTAATGATGTGTGGAAAGGCCTCACTTGTGAAAAAGGAGCCGGCAGAGTGGCCGCACCGACCATGCCCTCGGGAACGTTTCTACCTCAGCTCAAGACACCTTTAAAAAAATGCATAAGACGATGTCCTACTCTAAGAAGACGGACCCCCTTCCCACTGATGTCAACTGCACCAAAACTGCACGGTGAGAAAAGGAAAGGTATCTCAGTAAAGGCAGCTCCTCCGCCAGCACAGGCCGCCATCCGCACATGCCAGCAGTGCCCAGTCCCACGCTCCAGGACAGAGGGCCACAGAGGGCGTGGGCAGTGAGGCCGGGGCGGGACAGGAGGGCAGGGACCTGGGAGCCACGGCTGGGGGCTGGGGACTGTGCTGGGTGAAGCCTCTACCTATTCCTTCCCAAGAAAGGCCACTCCATTCCGAAATAAATCCATTTATTATTGAGAGTTCTTGTGCTTTTGTCTTCTACTCAGGCAATGATGCAATGTCCTCTCCTTAGAGATAGTGAAAGTCGCTCAGTCACATCCAACTTTTTGCGACCCCATGGACTGTACAGTCCATGGAATTCTCCAGGCCAGAATACTGCAGTGGGTAGCCCTTCGCTTCTCCAGGGGGATCTTCCCAACCCAGGGATCAAAGGCAGGCCTCCCACACTGCAAGCAGATTCTCTACCGCCTGAGCCACCAGAGAAGCCCTTGCCAAGCCACAAACGGGAGGTAATTCTGCCTCCTCAACTCCTTCTAATGTATGGATCCATTAAATTCCCCCCTCGGCGGGGGAACCAGGGTCAAGTATGCACTCTCAACTCACTCTTAACCAGAGGGCATCCCAACTCTCTGCGGCCATCACGGGCCTCCACGAGAAACACACCTCTAGCTATGCCTCCGCAGATCCTGTGAAACGTTTCTGAGCCTTTCTCAGCCCTCTGCCAGTGGACACCCTTCCTACACTTCCTGCACTCCTTCCCCTCCGAGACTCCGCTCCGCGCAGCCTGCCACGGGAGGCTCCTGTCCCCGCCTCTCTGCCGGCCTCAGCTCCTCGGAGCATCAGGGGCTGGGGACAGGTGTGTGCCTCCCTGCAGCTACGGGTTTCTCAATGCCAGCATCTAAGGAAGGGCTTGATGTGCTGAATGGGCACACCCAGTCAGGGGTCTCAGACGGCTATTCACTGGGTACCCACTGTGTGCCAGGCCTGGTGCTGGAACAGTGAGTGTGCCCGGGAGTGAACAGCTTTCCCCCACATCTGCCACAACAGCGAGAAACAGAGTCCGGGGTGCCTCCTCCTGCAGGAACGAAGGTCCAGATGTGCAGACAGAGAGACCGGGACACACAGATTCTAAGTCAAAGAAGGAACCTGCTTTAACTTGAGGGCAGACGAAAACATGGTAATATATCCACTCTAGTAGAGATGAGAGTTCCATAGCAGGTCTACATTTTAAAACATCTGGGCTACATCACACTCATCCTCAGATTATCTGCTCAGCAGATGGGAAATGCATCCTTGATTTCATTTTATTAGTGGGGAAAACTAAGAATTCTGAATTTCAGAAGCAGATGCCATGTCTTAGACTAAAGGGTCTTCAAGTGTCAGCTCTGTGTTTGGGCAAGTCACTTGTTCTGGACCTCAAATTTCCACCTGGAAAAATGTGGGAGGCCACTCATTGCAATCCAGTTTCCTAATGTGGGGGTCTCACATGGCAAATCAGAATAAGGGGCAAGTCCTCTGCCCCATCTTCCTGTATGTAAGCAACAGATTGCAACATTTTCTCTGTATTTTCTTTTCAAATTGTTCTTGTTCAGTCGCTAAGTCGAGTCCAACTCTTTGTGACCCCACGGACCGCAGCCCGCCAGGCTTCCTGCCCTTCACTATCTTCCGGAGCTTGCTCAAATTCATGTCCACTGAGTGGGTGATGCCATCCAACCATCTCATCCTCTGTCGTCCCCTTCTCCTCCTGCCCTCAATCTTTCCCAGCATTAGGGTCTTTTCCAATGAGTCAGTTCTTTGCATCAGTTGGCCAAAGTACTGGAGTTTAGGAAATCAATGCAAAAAACAATTCCAGGTTCTCGGATAAGTTCATTGTCAGTCTCTGTCTGGCCTCTTTTTCTCTTTCCCTATTTTCTCTCTTTTTTCCCCCTTCTCTTCCTGTCCCTTTCCCTCCTCCCAACTCTCTGCCCAAAGAGAAGCCACACTGGTTGTCTTGCCCCTCATGTCCATTCCTCTGGGTCAGGTAACAGTACGTCGATTTTTACCCCATGAACTCTATCCCTTCCAAAGGACACAGTTTGCCGGAACCTCCTATATGGATACCCACTGTCCCCAAGAAGCTGATATCTGACCTGAGGAAGGCCAGTTAGACAACTTTCCATGGATGCTGCTCATCAGAGTGACAGAAAGGAAAAAAAAAGTGGAATTTACTCTTCTTATGTCTGTGCCCTCAGGAGACCATTCATCATTCTCTATTACTCGGTGCTTCTGAGAGTCCCTGGCTTCAGGATTTCCCCAAAATCAGTTCTATTACTTTTCCTTTGATCCCATGATTATCTTGCAATCTTACCATAAAATAATACCTTTTCGCTCAAATTAACGTCAGTTTCTGTTGCTTGCGATCAAGAATCCTAAAAGGTACAACTTTTCATCTCAATTATTTCTTTAAGCCTTAAAATTTGCCACCTACTTCTTCTAAGAAACCACAAATGTAATGTGTAAAAGCCGGGGAACCCACTTGCTCTATTGTTGTCTTGCGTGTACCCCTGGGACCTGGGATAGGAGCTAGGATCAGCCCTCCTGGTCCTCCCTGGCCTTCCTATGAGAGACGAGCAGTCTATTGACAAGACAGGGTAAGGGATATTTCTTCCCAAAGTCCTGCCCACCAGGAAAAGACTGGGGAATACCCCAAGATCCACACAGTCAGAAACTGGTGTGACTGTAGAAGAGTGTGTCTGTATCATTTCCAGCCCCACAACCCTTTGGGAAACTGAAAACTCTAGATGAACTTGGCCCCAATGCCTTCTTCTCTTCAGCTCCATGGACCACAACAGCAATAATCATCATCACAATTATTACTACTAATAACTGCTGAGCAATCAGTAGCTACGAAGCACTGAATCACGAACTTTACATGTTTTATCTCACTTAATCCATACAGTAACCATTGGTGTGGGCACTACTATTACCCTATTTTAAAGATAAAGAGACAGATTTAAAAAGGGTAGGATTGAGAGCTTCCCTGGTGGTCCAGTGGCTAAGACTACATGTTCCCAATGCCAGAGGTCACAGTCCCATCCCTGGTAAGGGAACTAGATTCTACATGTCACAACTAAGACGCAATGCAGCCAAAATAAAAATAAAAAAAATTTTTTAATGTTTAAAAAGTAGGATCTTCTCTGAGGTTAGTAGCTGGTGAAAGACAGACCAAGACCAAATGTGGTCTTTGTGATTTCAATCTTCATCAGAAAGCCCACAATGATCACAGTGGTATCCTGCCTAATATGGGCAGGTTTCTGCTTCTGTGCTTGAAATCAGAGTTCACCTGGAAGGCACAAAGCAGAAGGGAGAAGGCTTCCACAACTTTTCTTGCCAGGAGCAAACACCCACGGGGTTCAACATCAGAGTGAACTGTCCTGATTTTATCAACTGCCTCTTCTTGACTTGCCACTTGAGACTCTGCTGTCCTCTGTGTACTGACAGACCCTGTCTTACCAGGAGCAGGAGTGCTTTTCAGGACAAAATAGAGAAGCAGACTTTCACTCCCCACAAGTTCACAGCACTCAAGAGCTGTGCCAAAGTTGTGACTCCCACAGGGCCCAGGGCAATGTGGTACAGAGCCCAGGGAACCCAGTCTAGGACTCGAGGAGCTGCTCCTACCTGCCGGCAACAGGGCGGACAGGTAACCTGAGGCTAAATCTCGCTCTTAAATACCCCTTCACAGACACTTTCAACTGTAAAAAAAATAAAAGTCTCAAGTCCTGGGAGGATAGAATGAAAAACTTCGATATGTTACACATTCATTCAACAAACACTGGATGAGATTAGCTAACAGTATCATACTTGTGTTAATTTCTTTATTGTAATGTACAGGTCATGATTAAGTAGGATATGAACATTAGGGGAAGGTTGATACAGGTAACTCCCGGTCTTATCTTTGCAACTTTTCTAGAAATCTGAAATTATTTCAAAACAAAAGGCTCTAAAACATGGACTGGATCACAGACTCCCAACAGCACCCTCTGTGAGACTGATGATTTAGGTCAGTTGTCACTGATGGGATGCAGGAAGGTGAGCATCCTGGGTTACGTCCATCAGTAAAGTATCACCAGGAGCAATAGCATGGGTCTCTCCAGTCCAAATTACAAGAATAACATTTCCTGCAGACCAAGCCTTTAATGAGAGCTGAACACGAAAGAGTTTGGTCAGGATATCTCATCGCAGCACCGTAAATAAACACTTCTATATAGACCATCACAGTAAATGGTTTGTGTGTGTGCGGAAAAGAGAAAGAGAAGTGAGGTGAGAGAAGAAGGACAAGGGAGGATACATGAAGCCACAGCAGACAAGAAAGGATCATTTATACATTCATACCACTCACCTGGGGTCAGTGGAAGAACCCACACGTTTGTGAAAGCAACTTGGTGACACGGATGGAGGAAGACACCGGGGGGTTAGTCCTCAACACAAGGAACTTTTCAAAAAACATTTCCAAACAAAGTTTGGGAAATACCTATCCATGAGTTACTGAGCACAAGCCAAGCATTTCAGAATGGTTTTAAAAGCCACCAAAGGAATGGAATGTGATGGCCTAAGGAAACTCTGCAAGAAAGTTTTGAGAATGGTCCCATCCAGAGTCGAGAACACTTTCAAGGATCTGGAGGTCTGTGACTCAAGGAGAGGGACTGCTTAATCTTCATCTGCAAGACTGGAAGAAAAGAGCTTGCCCAGGTGAGGCAAACTCCTTTCAGACACAAGGAAGAAGTTCTTGAGGTGATGACTTAGGAAACCCTTCACCAGGTGCCCACAGGGGTTGCCACTTTATCTCTGGACGTATCACAGGAGAGGAGACTGCCTCTCCCAGGGCACAAGGAAGCCTGCCTTCAAGCCCAGGGGCCTGGTTGATTTAGGGTCTTCCCCAATTCGTGGAGTCAGAGCATACACGGCATGAAGCTGCCACAGCACCTCCCTGAAGAGCAGCTGCTAGAGAGGAATCAGGCCTTGTTATTCTAGGCGCAGAAAGCGCCAGTCACGTCATGAAACTCTGCTGCAAAAAAATCCCTTGACTGATCCAGTTTTCTAACCTTCCTTCCTATTTCAGAGACTTTCAGAGGACGCATGACCTGAACCTGCAGTTTTGGAGACAAGTGGGTCTGGCATGAAGCTCTGATTTCTTTTCCAAGAAGACAACTGGGGTAAACTCAGGAGAAAATAAAAGCATGACCCCAAACCAGAATCTGGAAATAAATGCCCTGCACTTTGGGGGTGGGGGAGATTTAAAATAAATAATAGAGTATTCAAAATTCATTTCTTATTACACTCATGAACAAGAAGCAAAAATGACCATCCAATACATTGTATTTATACATTACTGTGTTTCAATCCTACTGTGATTGTCTCCCCAGTTTCACCCCAAGCAGCTACCACATTTCACTTTATCCTAGTCTGTCTTCCATTTATATCTTAGCAGAATAATTTGATCAGACACCCAAAAATGCTTCCCACTAATGAAACCAGGATTTGCTAAGAAAAATCAATGTATAACTTGCCTTAGTAGACATCAAAGACAGAACGAGTTAGTATTAAAGTCTGAGACACAGCCACCATCCTCAGATTTTAGAAGGACTGGTAGGAGAATAGCAGATAATAGAAAGGGTTAACTCAGCTGATTTCTGGGTAAAGAGAAGGATGGCAACATGATTTTTTAAGGCAAACACCTGGAGGCAAAAAAAAAAAAAAAGGAGTATTTGTTTCCACCACAAGAAATTGCAGACATACAGAAAGTCAGTCACATCAGTGGAATACTCAAATTTCTGCACATGCCAATTAGGGAAATGTAATCAACCCACTTTCCGTCCTCTCTTCACCTATTCTAGCATACATCATGCACGGAGTTCCTCACTCCCCGCAACCCGCAGAACATCATACAGCTTGCGTGGTGCATCAGAGGGAAACAAATAAGCACGATTTTTTGCTGATGGCAGGAATTTCTCATGCTCAGGGCATATGAACCAGCAACGTGGAAATGGCAACACAGGCTGTATATTTTAATGATCGCCCACACCTATTTTGCAAAAGAGACTTACAGTTCAATTAGATAACACGCTGCTCAGTTATGGTTATTTCATGAAACTGAGCACAGTCATTTCATGTGGTAAATATGCAGTCGTGACAGAATTAGATATTCATCAAATCAAATGTGACTGAAAAGCTGAGGACGTTAGAATACTAAAATTCCTCATAGTTCAGCAATGTAACTCCTATACGCATCACCCTGGCCCGATCTAGAGTGTGTTCAAATGCCAGTTCCTTGGTAGAATGTCATGTTAAGTTACGATATTGATTTGGTAGAAAAACCACAATCTCAAACCTTAGCTCAGTAATCCAAATGCAAAACAAAATTTTGAAGATGTGCGAATACAATCCTGTTAAGGTGAGCCAGTCTCCAAGTACAAAGAGGCATCATCCAATGTGATCCCAACATATTTTGGATGTTGTTTAGTCCACTCACACCTTAGGAAAGGTGGAACCGAAGCCCAGGCAATCTCCAAAGAGGAACACATCATGACTTGAGTTTCTTTCTCACCAGGAACAGGGGCTGTGTTCTTGAACACTTCCTCAAGTGAACCACAGTTAGAAAGTATTTCCACTGACGCCTCTTTGGTTCCAAAAGTCTAATTTGTTGAACCAACTTTTCCCCAACATTTGCAGCCACTTTCAAAATGTATTAAGAAACACATGTACAGACTTTGCCGAGACACGACTGGCCGACACCAGCATTCACAAAACTCAACTCCAGTGTGCATGGAGAAAGAACACTCTGCTCAGGGACCGAGTTGGAACTACACTCTAAGAACGTTACCCCAAGGCATTATTTTCTATGCCACCTTCTCTCCTTTACAATTTTCTCAACAGGAAGAAACATCAGCACCAGAGAAGAGCATTTGAGCCATTTCTTCCTGGAACCCAATCACCTGAGGAGCGCCTCTCTCCAGTCAGTAGCCTCTATCCCCGGGTCTACAATGACACAGCAGGGCTCAAAAGGTGTCCAGGGCTCACCTGCTGCCAGGCCCCTGGTCCCTGCCCTTCCCAGGCATGAGGATGCCAGGGGAGGAGCAGAGCAGGACCTCCAGCTTGGAGCTGGGTGAGGCAGAGCTCTCCCTTCTGCAGAAGAGCCAAACTTTGCTCCCACCGTTGTCATCTTTAGGTTGATATCACCTCCCTACAAGGAGTCTCGGAAGCACTTGGCAGCTCCAGAAAACACGCTTTGCGTTGACCTAGATCATTCGCACAAGCCTTGGCTACACGGTGTGGGCGAGCACCGGTCCTCAACCCCGCTCTCCCGGGATGCTGCGCCCTGCCTGGCATCACATCGCCTGGACCAGAAGACTTTTCTCTGCACAAACACTTACTACAGAAACCAGGACGGACTTTGCACACGCCTTCCAGGTCAGAAAGTGACTCCCCCAGCGATCCCACAGCGTCGCACGCCTTCCCCACATCTGCAACCCCCGCTGCCACCTGGACGAGAGAGGGGGTGGGGGAGTGGCGGGGTTAAAGTGACAGCTACTACCAGAGCTTCTTGGTTTTGTTCACAAGGTGTCACAGCGCCAACGCGGGGACCTACCTTGCTCTCGCCCTTGTCGCCGCTGGGTCTCGCCTCGGGATCGTCGCTGTCCTCTGCGCCGGCACTCTCGCCGGGCGGTTCATCCGGAGCCGGATGCTGCGGAGGCAGCGGCGGGGGCTGGGGTTGGGGCTGGGGCGGCTGTGACGGCGCCTGGCAGGCTCCTCCAGCCCCCTGGGAGCGGGGGATGGGCTCCTGGCGCGGAGAAACTCCCTCCACATCCATCTCCATCTTCCCATTCACTGGAGGGCAAGACAAAAGCGGAGCGCAGACTTGGCAGCGGCGCCCGGCGGTGGCTTAGCTGCCCGCGGCACGCATGGCTCGCCGAGGAGGGGCCGCCTCTTGCGCGCCCTCCCTCCCGCCAGCCTTCGCCCGCGCGCCCCGCAGCTCGGCTCGCTGCTGGGCTCGGCACCGGCGGCGCCGGCCCGTGGAGCGCGAGCAGCGGGGGCTGCGCGTCCTCGGAGTGGTGGCCTTCGGGCGCCCCCGGCAGTCCCGCTAAGCCGAGCGCATCCCGGCGGCGCCGACGCCTCCCAGCCGCACGCCCAGCCCGAGGCCGCCCGGGGATTCGGTCCCAGCCCGGCCTCCAGATCCTCGGCGCTTTCCAGCCTCTCCGGGGGCCCCTCGGCGTCTCCCCTCCCCTCCGCCTCGGAACAAAGTTACTGGAAGAACAATCTCGTCTCCGGGACCTGCAGGCGAAACTGACAGGAGAGGGGCCGGTCAGGTGTAAGTGAAACCCACCACCCCTGCCCGCGGACCAGGTTCCGACCCCTCACCCCGCCCTCTCCGGGCGAGGCAGGCAGGGCTTGGAGACCGGTGCCGGGCGACGGCGGAGCCCTGGGAGGAGGGTAGCCGGCGGGGGGCTGGCGGCCGGGGCCCGCACCCCAACCCCGGGTGACCCCCGCCGCCACAGCGGCCTGGGCCCCTCCCTCGCTCCCTCCCGAGGCCGCGCGTGCCCCAGGGTCACCGCTCCCGCGCGCACAGAGCATCCCCGCGCTCCCGTGGCCCCAAGCCGCCCTCAGCGCCGAGGGCGAGGACCAGAAGGCGGTGGCAGAGGCTAGGCGGCAGTCCACCTACCCTCGCCTCCACCGGGTGGCGGGCGGCACCCGCAAGGGGTGAGGTCCCGCGCCCGGGTCGAGGACGCGAGTCTGGCGGCTAGCCTGAGTTCCATGTAAAGGTCTGCAGCAGAGGGGCGGGCGGTGGGGGCGTAGTGGGGGCGGGGGGTGTGCGGAGAGAGAGGCGAGGGGTCGCGGCCGGACACTGGCCGCCAGGTGCCCCCGTGGGCGCCAGCTTCCACCCTTCCCCAGGCAGGGCTCCGCCGAGGGGCGGGGACCTCGGGCCGGGCGGTGAGCTGCCTCTGTAAATCTAGAGAGACAGATGGAGAGGACAAGGATATTCTGGGAATTCTTAGAGCCGGGCTCACCCCGACAGTCAGCTGATTAGGATGACTTCCACACTGAACACTCCTTGGTCCTGGGGAGCAGTTTACAACTCCACAGGAACTGCCAAGGCCAAGGCGACTCTGCATGCCCCGAAGGGACCTTCCAGCAGCTGTGGAGAGATAGAGGATTATTAAGAAGCTGTTTAATATTAAATAGAGCCCATTGTTCTGGGCTTTGAGTTCCACAATGCCCCCACATGGATCAGCAGATAAATGAACTCTCCGCGAAGTAGAGCTTCGCTTTCCCCCCAACCCCCCACCCCATATATGATGTATCACAGACCATGCTTGCCTTCTGAAACTAGAAAGTTGAGTTGTCTTGTGACTGCTTTGCCTTAAAGACAACTTTGACAGTTTCAAAATACACTGTCCAAATAGTGGCAGTTACACAAGGACATATCATGCCTTATCCCTCAGTGCGATTGCTTCATCTCTGATTCTGTGATAGAAGTTAATTGCCCCTTTAATCAGTACACACAGTCAATCTGAATAATGCAATGTGAACATGCTTTTGGGAAAAGAAAAGTTTAAGGGTGAAATTATTCTTTTTCTTCAGAATTATGAAAAATTTGAATTTCAAGCTCATCTTCTAAATTGGGACTTTGTTCAAAATAACAGGAGCTTGCTTTAAGTCTGACATTCGATACATTTTTTAAGTGACATTATGACCTCTCATGTGATAATGTGCCAGCCCAAGAAAATATAGAGCTTCTACCTTTAAAGAAGTCACTTACTCTCCCTTTCCTCTCCAGTACATTATAATCAATCAATCCTTATAGTATTTTTATAATGCTAAATTAGACGATCTGTGTAAAGTGCTTAGCAGAGCGCCTTAGGGCATAGGGAACACTCAGTGCCTGTTTTACTGAAAATAGTAAGATGATAGAAATTCACCATGAGCGATCCTCGGAGGACCTTGATTTAGGAAGAAGAAACTGCCAGTTTAATTAATCTTTTTTCTATAAATTATTCTAAAAGATATTTGGGATCTTCAAAGAATGAAGCCCCTTCTGAAGGCAGGAAGAAAGTCAGTGGTGTTCTGTGCAACAAAGTTCTAAATTTGACAGATTTTCCTTTTACGTTGTAGAAATAAAAATTTATATGTCAGTTCCAACAGGAGCTGGAATAACTGGCTGGAAGGTTATTATTCTTCCATGCTTGTTACTTCCAAAATGTGTTTGTGAACTTCAGTGAAGAGCAAATCAAAACAAAGATACAAAACTTCGACTGAATTTGTTCTAGATTTAGGCAAGTGCTTGTACAGGCTCCCATTGTTAAAGGCAAATATTTTTCCTTTCTCTGCCCTTCTGTTTTTTGGGGGACACAGATTTTTTTGTGTGTGTGTGTGTCTGTCATAAGTAAATACGGGCTCAGAAAATATATTACATTTCAAAACTGTTGATTGCACCTAATTATGCATGTAAATTGCTACTTCAAGCTTGCAGACAGCTTGCAACATTTTGAAAATTTTGCCCTGGTAGTCATCTGAGGTATTTATGTTACTATTTTGCTTTTGCCTTAAATGACTTCACTTCCCCATAAGTTTTACATTAATGATGGGGCTATGAATAATTCTGACCTTTTGGTATCTTTCTTTTGGATGATTCAAGTGAGCAACTCAGCATTTTCAACAAAATCACCATTATTATTGTTTATACCAGACCACTTGATTTTTTGAATCACTGAAATGAGATTTATAAGAAGGCGTCCTGAAGAGTCATCTAGTCTCTTGTTACTCAAAATATCATCAACAGACAAGCAGCGTCCCACCACCTATACTGTTTGAAATACTAGGTCTCAGGTCCAGTCCTAGGCTGACAGCATCAGGGTCTACATTTTAACACAACTTTTTCAAGGATCCCTACCACGGTCCCTGCCAATCAAGTCTGAGAAGTGCTGATCTAAAACACAGCAGAGTTGGCCTTTCTCCTTTATAATTCTTTGGCACTGTTCCTCTAAAATACCACTTGGAAAGAAAAACACAATGTGAGACACATTTTTGTTTTGGTCAAGACAGTACAGTCCCTTCCTACTCTCCCCTCACCACTGAGGATCTGAGACCTGAATGTTTCATGATGAAAAATTACATCAAATAAAAATGAACCTATGTTGAATATCTTGAGTAATGTTGAAGTGTATACTTTCCTAAAATCACACAATGAACTAACCTGAAAGGGGACTTATACTTTACCTGGAATAACCTTTACATGCCAACGTGTGGAACTTACCCCTTAAAAACTTGGTTAATTCTTGACTTCAGATGTGGAAGTCCAGTGTCCACTCAGCTGGCATTATTGATTGATGCCTTCTGTTACAATGCAAGCAGAAACCACCGTTAGTGCCTGTGCCGTGACAGTCAAAGCTACAGTAATTAAGCATGCGAATGAACTAAATTATACGCCACGATATTTTTAGAAATTAGCAGAGCTTGTTGCTTTAAAAACACTTTTTTAAAGACATGTACACAGATCAATAAATGATTACTTATAAAGGCTACCTGAACAGTGTTCTCACCTGTAATGTACATGAAATTACCAGGCAAATTTCCCTAGAAGGCAGATTAGAACTCAGCAGGATGGGAGCCTAAGAATCTGCATCTCTGACAAACTTCCAGATGAAGCCAGTGTTTCTGGTCCTCAGACCTAATAGACTTGCCTTACTTCCATCAATGGTTCTCAAGTTTTAATCAGCTTTTTAAAGTCCAGTGCCTAGATTACACACCAGACAAGTTAAAATAGAACCTCTGGGGTTGAGTTCTAGGTCTCAGGGGTGTTTGGATCCCAGCTGATTATGACATGCAGCCAGGACTGGGAATCAGTGCTGTGGATCTGTGCTTCTTCAATTGTCACTTCCAAGGCAGCAGCATCTCCAGGGGGTGAATATGACTCTCAGGTGCCACTCCAGACCAACAGGGTCCGTCTCTGCACTCTAAGCTCCCCGGCGGTGTGTCCGCACACCTCGGGTTTGAGAAGCACAGCTCTAGTGCAGCCCATGGGACGGGGGGATGGCCCTCCAACAGCTACAAACTGATGGCAATTCCTTTCCACTTGGCTCTTCACAGATCTTCACATGTTCCCAGAAGCTTTCAGGTGAAGTTCCCGTTGATGAGAGAAATCCGCAAGCATCCCTGGCTGTTCTAACACCCCTGTGGTTGGCAGTGCTGTCCGGCAGGACTTCCACCAACGACAGAAATGTGCCGTGTCTGTGCTCCTCAACAGGCTGCCACTGGTCACTGTGGCTCCAGGGTAGCACATTGTGAAACTGTCCATTTTCACTGGAGTTCATTAAATGTAAGTGGCCTCCTGTGGTTGCTGCCCCCCGCGCCCCCCCCCCCTTTACTGGACAGAGCAGTCCAGAGTAATCACCCTTCCTCAGCCCTTTTTCAAATTCCCAGGTTGAACCCAGGGCCCCCCGCCACCACCCCCAGCAGCTTGTGTACTTATTAATCCCCAGTGAATGCACTGAGATGACAAACATCTGCCTCGCTGCCTCATCTGCATAATAAGTAACATTATGCTTATTACTTTGAATGAGAGGAGTTTAACTTGAATTAAATGCCATCAAAAGTTGTCAAAACCTTTTTCATAGTATTCATAATCACGTAGCTTGAATTTTACAGCCTTTTCAAACAGCAGCAGACATGGGGCGCCTTTAGAACTGCCTTGAGAAAAAGAGACAAAAAGTTGCAAATGAATTCAGGGTATAAGACACAGAAAGACACCCCACCCCCCAGCATTTTATTGGTGCACTATAGAAATTCCTTACATTCAGAGGGTGTCTGCGTTGAAAATAAATACCAGAACCTGAAGATTCCTCCCAAAATGGACGATGAGAGTCAGGAAGCCAGAGGATGGCAAATGAAACCCAAACTAGAAATGCACTCAGGGACATCCCTGGTGGCCCAGTGGGCAAGACTTCACCTTCCAATGCAAGGACTGCAGGTTTGATCCCTAGTCAGGAAACTAAGATCCCACATGCAGAAAAACCAAGACATAAAACAGAAGCAATAATGTACAAATTCATTAAAATATTTTTTTTACAAAAGGAAAACAAATGCACTCAACAGTTACCTTGAATGTGAATATCTAATCTGTGGAATCAATGGGCAGGGAGACGGGAGGGGCGGTGAGGGGACAAAATATGCATGGTTTGAAACAGGCACCAGCTCCACGGAGCCTTTGTCAGCCTGAGAAAATCAGCACCACCACCCTCATCCATAACAGCACCACCTTCAGACAGACTCCCAGGAACCCCATGAAGGGGCAATGATCAAGAAAGCGATAATTCAGGGGACATGATTTTAACTGACACATCTCAGAGAATAAACAGCAAATCCCTACTTAACAGGGAGGAGGACATTGTTAAACTAAAGTCAGTTCTTCCCTTTGATTGAAAAAGTGAGTTAACACAACCTGCCTCATACCAGGAGGCCAACACCAGGAAGACATTTCATTAAGATCTCTGCCTTGCCAGCTGCCGGTTTGGTATCATGTGATGTAAGATTATGGCCACAAAGAAACGTGTAGCCAAGGGCAACAGCCTCAGTGCTGAGGATGGTCACTTCTTAGCAACTGAAACCAATAAATAGAAAAACTCCAGGGGACTCCAGACAACAGGCTTTCAGAAGTTTGGCTCAGAGGCCATTCAGCACTTGCCCTGACTCTCATTCAGGCA